TGCCGGCCGACGCCGCTTCCTCCCCCCGCCGCTGGTGGAGTAAGAGCGTCGATTCGGGGATCGATTGTCGCGTCCCAACGGGACGCGATAAATCGATCCCCGAGAGGTCGATTTCTACCCGCCGATTCAGGCGGGTAGTGTAGACCTAGCCTCTAAATGAAATGTAAGACCTGATCACGTGCAAAATTTTGGGAAATTTTGTAGCCCTAGGATCTTGATTCCTCTGTTCATAGTTATCTTATTTATCAGTTTATAGCTGAATTAAATAACATCTGATAAGACAATGAAGAGTCGTCTGATCTTTTCTTATGGCACAGACATATAGATATAAAAACGTATCTGGGAAAACTAAGCTATCAAAGAAAGTGAGATTTATTGACTTAGACCATCTTCCCTTTATTTTAGATTGCTTTGATAGCAGCCTGTTGGGTTAGAGATTAAGCCAAAGTATAAAAAACATCTGGCACTTGAAAAAGTTACAATATCAGAGACAGATCTTCAGCTGATGTAAAATCTGTGCAGTTCCATTGATTTAAATAGAATCAATGAAATGTGCTGATTTACATCAGATGAGAATCTAATCCATTGTGTGGAAACACTGTTACAATACAACATGTAAATTAGTATCTGATGTGTATTGTAAGAACCAAAATTGTATTGCTATTGTTCTTATATAGAGCCATGTGAAAAGAAGACTGTGCTATATAAAGGTATTTCTTCATCAATAGGTAATATTTCAGCGCTGCAATGCTGTGAAGTCTTTATTAACCCCTGTTATGGATATGTGAACATTCTCTAGCTTATTCCTCCAACTTTCAGTTGGAAGCCACAATAGGAAGAAGGAAGAACAGGAGTACTTGTGGCACCTTAGAGACTAACAAATTTATTAGAGCATAAGCTTTCGTGGACTACAGCCCACTTCTTCGGATGAAATAGGAAGAAGGATGCAATAAGGCACTGCCCTGTTACCACCAGTAGATGGTCTCAGGAACAGCACTGCAGATCTAGAGCAGGGGCTCTCTATCTTTTTCTTTCTGAGGCCCCCCAAAATACTATAAAAACTCAACGGCCCACCTGTGCCACAACAACTGGTTTTCTGCATGTAAAAGCCAGGGCCGGCATTAGGCGGTAGCAAGCAGGGCAATTGACTGGGGCCCCCATGAAGCTCAGATGCTCAGGCTTCAGCCCCAGGTGGTAGGGCTCAGGACCCCCAGCTTCAGCCCCACGCAGTCAGGCTTCAGCTTTCTGCCCTGGGCCCCAGCAAGCCTAACATTGGCCCTGGTTGGCGGCTCCCCTGAAACCTGCTTGAGGCCCCCCAGTGGGCCACAGACCCCTGGTTGAGATCCACCGATCTAGAGTCTGGCTGTTTTCTTGTGCAGTAAAATGCCTGATAAGAAATGAAGGAGAGGGACAGATTTCTGAAAAACAGGTGCAAAATGAAGGGGTGGACAAACACATTAGGACAGATATTCACCCTATTTACTCCTCACTTATGCCTTAATCCTGCAATGAAATCCACAAAGAGAGACCCCGCACCTGCTTGGAGTCCTGCTGAGGCCCATGGGGTTTGCCTGTGGCGATCTCATTTCAAGAACCACTACTTAGGCCTGGTCCCCACTAAGCCCCCACTTCGGACTAAGGTACGCAAATTCAGCTACGTTAATAACGTAGCTGAATTTCAAGTACCTTAGTCCGAACTTACCGCGGGTTCAGACACGGCAGGAAGGCTCCCCCGTTGATGCCGCGTACTCCTCTCGGCGAGCTGGAGTCCCGGCGTCGACGGCGAGCACTTCCGGGATCGATTTATTGCGTCTTAACCAGACGTGATAAATCGATCCCAGAACATCGATTGCCTGCCGCCGGACCCTCCGGTAAGTGAAGACGTACCCTTAGGATATACAGGTCATGTCACACAAATGCAAATGGCCATCCTCCAACCACAGGGAAAAAGTGAACTGGGTAATTAAACTGGTTAAAAACACAAACTGGCTAAAGATAAGCCTTTCATACCTTAATATGGAGAAAATAATGATCCTTCACTTTGCGTTTCAGTGCAACAGATGTGGTAAGCACTCCCTGGTGGTTAATCTCAAAAGCGTTCTCTTCATTTCCACTCAGAATGGTGAAGATGAAAGGTGGACCATTATGAGAAGAATCCTTGTCTGTCACTGTGAGCTGGAGCACACTAAATCCAACAGGCTTATTTTCCTATAAATGTATAGGAACATTGCATCAGACAGTTTCATTATAACAATGTAATCAGTGAGATACTCTGATTCAGTTTTCCTTTCCACAACAGAAAAAAGTCAATTGGTATCACAGTATTGTCAAACAGTTGTTTTTTCTACTTCCCGGAAAATTTTCCAGTCCTTTTGGGTTAGTGTGTTAAAAAATGTCATGGCCTTGAAACTCCATTTTTTTTTACCTTTGGTCTTAATGAGCCCTGGTACCTCTGGGTTAATTATTAACTCACCAAACATTCAAATCTAGCTAATGCTACCTATTAAGGATAATCACAGTACCTGCACATAGATGAGCACATGGACTGCTTTTCTCCTGCAAAATAACCACAAAGTGGGAGAAAGGGAGATGAGTCCCTGGGTCAGAACCTGGCCCAGAGCTCCTAGTGGGGCAGTGGGTAAATGCCACAATTTAGTCCCCGTTAAATAGCTCTCAAGTCGAGCTTTTTACACATATAGATCATCTAACTATTTGCATCACTGGGATGCAGCAGGGTTTATATACACTTGGAAACCAACTGATCAGATTTGTCAACTACTATACTCTACAAATCTCTACTTCCTTCTGGAACAAAGATTATACACCATTTCCCGCAGAATATTTAAATGTGACAGCTGTGCTGCACAAAGCCTTTTTCACTTTAATATGTTGGTAGAATGATATGGTATTGAATGCAGGATATCAGTAAAATGCCATCCATTAGAAAAAATATCCACCCTCCCAATATGCACCCCCTCCCCCCGTTTATCAACTTTTGAGCCCTTTTGCTATTGTTCTTTGAAAAGGTTCTGGGACAGAGATGACTTGAGGAAGTAGGTGAAATTCGCTGAGGTCAACAGTTTAGTGGTCTGAGCTTTACAGCTGATACTCTTCATGCCAGGAAGTCCATAAAACAGACCAGGGACATATTTTTAAATGTGGATGCCTAAAGTCGGACACCTAAGTGGCCGGATTTTCAGAACTACTGAGCACTTATGGCTCCCACCTCATTTGAATCCAGTGGAGCTCTTTTCCTTGTTACATGTGGGTGGACTGGAGGGGAGTTCACCATTCTCCCTGAGGTACTCTGGCTGATTAGAAGGGAGTGACATGGACCTCATGTAATACAGAATTATTTCCTCCTCTCCTCCAGCTAGAGTGAGCTGTTGGGGAAGAGGAAACACCAAAGATGTCCTTGAGATGGGAACCAGTTACCAGGTTTCCCTTCTTGACTCTATGGATATTCATTGAGTTATCTTGGGTATGTAGGTTAGGGCAAAAAAGTGGCCATAAAAAACTGCTCATATTTTGGGGGTGAGGATGGGCTGCACATCTGGGTTTTTTAAGATATGTATGTGCTTAACTCCCACTGGTTTGTTGGAATTAGGCACCTAAATACCTTTTAAAATCTGGCCCACTGGACGAAAAGCACAATCCTTTGAGAGCACAAGGGAACATGCACCCAGCAGCATCTATTACTTTCTTGAACAGTGTGCCTTACTCCCATGCTCTAAGAGTTAAAGTCGAGGCAGGTGCATTCACAGCCCTTTCTGACCACTTTGGGGAGTCTAGTACAGCTGTTTGGTCTAGACTCCTCAAGTTCATGTGCATTAGGAGTGCCTTCATTTCCCCTATAAAATGGAGATCATAATTTTACCTACTTTCATAGAGCATTTTAAGAGTCTGAATAAAGGTGCTATGTTGGGATGAGTCACTGGATGAGTTATGACTCCCTCATTCTGGTCCGTGTTGACCCATGCCAGCAAGAGAAAGCATCTGAGGAATTGCTCTAATTTACATCACTAGCATAATGTCTTTAATGCAACTATCCCAAGTCCCTCTTACTTCCTTCAACATGGTTCCCATGTCAGAGGAAGGGGAACAGCTGGTGCAGGAGCTGCCTCGGCTAGCAGGAAGTTCCCTGTATCTGAGTGAATTACCTGCTAGTCATTTGAGAATATGGTCCATTACCACCACCTTATAATGGAAAACTAAAGCTTGTGTGTTGTTATAGATGAATTATACTTTTGGGATAGCACTCAGTTATTGGTTCTGTCAGACACATTTTTGTGAATATGGAGAATTCTGAGCACTTAACTATTTTTATTTTCATATGCAAGGACAAAGGCATAAACCACAAGAGCCAAACAGACAAGTTAGCTATGATCAGTCATCAATATGAGTGAAATATGGTTCAGGGTTCCCTAAGTCAGGAATACTTGCTTATTTAATCTTTTTTCCAGTGCCATTATGTCCTGCCCAGTTCAGATTTGTGTCATGCCCCTGGCATACACCTGAAAGGTATAACCAATACAAAAAACTTTCGTATTTCAGAGAGTTAGTTTAATATCATATTATTTTGTTATATTTTATTCTGAGTATTCCTGCTATCTCTCTTTCCTTGTTTCAATACTTAAATCCTCAAAACATCAGTTCACATCTACCATCCGTACAACGTGAGATATGAATGACATTTCCTTTACAGCTGCTCAGCATCATCTCTTAATCAGCTGAAGAGTGCTATGGAGCAACATACATTAAATAATGGTCTATGTGCAGGAGTACAGAACACCTGCTTTACAATAACAGAGTAGCTAAAACAAAGTTTTCTAAGCATAATCTCCATCTATTATTAGCAAAATAAGTCAATTGTAATGTATGTATTTTTAAGATGTACTGTATATGTATGCTGAATGTTGTACAGTGTAACACAAAATAAAAATAGAATAATGTATATGTTAAAAGTGACACACATCCTATGAATGAAGTATTTCTCTGCAACTTTTGTAACAAGGTGGCACAATATGGTTCTGATTTTACAACACTTATTTACACTGATAAGCACTTACTCAGGTAAACAGTCCAATTTATATTACTTCAGCCTTAAATAATAAAAAAAAATATTTTTTCTGTTGCAAAAAGTCACAGATTAACATCCAAAAACTGTATTTAGTTTGATTGCCATAACATCTAAAGTGCTATGTTTAGATTACCTGGATGATAACACTATAGTTCCCCTTTGAGAATACTGGAGGATTGTCATTTACATCTGATACATCAATATTTACAGTAGTTGTGTTGACTCTGGATGGATTTCCATTATCTGAAGCTTGAACTGTCAAGGTGTATCCTGAAATCTAAAAAAAAAA